TTAAAAGTTGAAGCCCACACAGCCTGCTTTAAAGGGTTGTCCTCGAGCTACACCAGTGAACAAGCATTAGAAGGTGAAGCACGGTCTGCAGTGAGCCTCAGGCACGCAAAACAGAGCTCCACCCTGCAGCGAGGACAGGAAATGTTTTTACTCTTAGTGCCATCATGCACCACCAGTAAGCCCCTTTTTGAATGGGCTTAGGCTGAGGCACAGCCAGGATCCCACATTCCTCACATCCCTGGCGCCGATGTTGTGTTCACGATTTCCCACGGCTTGCTGATACATCACTGACCTCCAGGTAATTCATGACAGTGCTGCTGAGCATCTTTTTTTCAAAGTATTTGATTTCTTCAGGAGTCAGAAGAGCCATTTTACAGACCTCTTCATGTGACCACTCAGCATTGCAGTCAGGCTGGCCGCACACAAATCGGCTCTCACCCTGAGGGATCAAAAAGAAATCAGTTAATTGCATCTAAGCTTGTTGACATGGTCAAAACAAGCTGCCGAGGTTCAAACTGAACATCGGAATGAGAAAGAAATTTAATTTGATTGATTTTGAAAGTGGCATGGGTTTTGGTGCCAAACGGACTGATCTACTGCTGACCAACTCTAGAGTTTACAGAGAATATTAAAAAAAAGAGAAAATATCCAGTGAGCATCAGAAAATGTCTTGGTGATGTCAGAGGTTAGAGGGGAATGGACAAACTTTGTTATGTTTATAGGAAGGCAACAACCCTTGTTACAACCAAGTTATGCAGAAGAGCATCTCTGAGTGCACCACACACTGAACCCTGAAGCACATGGGCAGCAGAAGACCACACCTGCCAGCTATGAATTGGAAACTGAGGCCACAATCCACATGGGATATTTTCTTGCCCGTTTTGCAACCAGCCACCAGATCTCAGTTCAATAAAGTACTTTGAGATGTGGTGGAATGGAAGATTCCCATCACAGGATCGGCAGCAACTGTGTGATGCTGTTGAGTCAATATAGACCAAAACATCCAAAGAATGTTTCCACCGTGTCAAATTATATTCTTTTAAACTTTGCCTTCAAAACCTCTGAAGTCTAACAAGGTGTACTTAACAAATTGGCCAATGAGTTTATAATAGATTTAGAAATGATTTATAAATAGATTTTAAATTATGTAAAATTAATTTCATAATTTATGTGGAAATTTGAGAAGATAAATGTGCAAGAAGGACAATGAGAGATGATGGAGAACTAATACTTCAGAATCTGATTAATAATAAACATGTGGTACCTGGTCCAGCAACTGGTGACACCAGCTGGTGAGAGACATGGGGGTGACAGAATGACCGCAGGACATCCGGGCTCTCAGAGATTTATAGTCTCTGCCCTCAACTATGAGACAAAAAGGAAGACTTAACTTATAAAAATCCTTGAAGCCCATGCTGTATTTATCTGGTTCTTTGACTACTTACAGTCCATATCATCGT